CGAGGTAACCAGCCAGACCAGAGACGGCTGCAGTCAGCTTTCTCTTCTGCCAGTTTTAGGCACTGAAATAATTCCTTATTGTATCAAAACTTGACTATAACATCCCTGTTGACAGCTAGAGCTGACATTTGGAAGAGGTAAGATCGTAATACCATATTTTAAATGTTTAGATGCTGAGGTCTGGTCAACCTCACTTGCTGAAAAACTTGACATGGGGGAGGAAAAGGAGCAGGAAACCCTTTACGGAAACTTGATTTCTTTCCGCCCCTTTTAGAGACCCCAAGATCAGTCCAGATGTTCTGTAATGCATTTGGAGAAGGAGACGGGTTTGGGCTTTTTATTTTTATTTTTTGCAGAACTACAAATTCCATTTACATTCAGCCAGAGATGCTGGGTTGGGCGAAACTTTGCTGCTTCCTTTAATCCCATTTTGCTCCACTTCCAGTCAACAAAGATGGAGCGCAATGCTTGTTAATGTTTTTTCACCAAGTTTTTTTAAAATGTTGCACTGACCTGTGTTTCAACAGAAGAACATTTAAAACAAAGAGCTGAGGAATACGGCAGGCTACCAGGCTGCTCTCTCATAACGTGCTTTTGCCCTCAGGCCCTGCTTGTGGGTTTTCTAGGTGCTTCTGGCTGATCGCTTCGGGAAGCGAAAATCAGATTCCAAAGAACTGGGTTTGCTCCCAGGGGGCTCTTTTCCCGGCTTTAGCCTAACTCCTCAAGTGACGAAGGAGCCCTGAGTGAGGTCCCTGATGTGATCTTGGTGGAATAAGGGGCACCGCGCCTCCGCCTACCCATGGAGTTGCCACGTCCCCATTCACAGGCCCTGGCTGGGGGGCACTGGGTCGGCGAGAGTCCTGCCAGCTCCAGCATGAAAGTGCCGTTGGTGTGCGGGGTGCACGTGTTCATGCGGAAATCCCTCCGGCTCGCCAGCATCTCTCCCTTCCGGCTGCAAAGAGAAAGACTGTCGGTAAGCAGAGGGAAAAACAGCAAAGCGCTCCATCTTCAGGCCAGCCTTGTAGCAGCTTGCCAGGAAGAAGCAAGAGTGGAGGCACACACCTTTCCCTCTCTGAAGTCCTCGGGAAGCAGCCGGGGCTTACCTGAAGAGGGGATTGTCCTTCTTTTCTGCCTCTTCTGGTGGAACCAGGGACATTGGGGTCAAGGGGACAATACTGACCATCTGCAAAGACAAGACAGCAGGTTCCCACACGGTTGGGGAAGGCACGAGGCTAGTGGTCACGGAAACAAGAGACAGGAAGATGTTATTTGTTGCCTCGTATTTTGGGGCAGATGGTAAGCAGCAAGGAACGACCAATGGCCACTGGGCTCATAGAGCAGAAGGGGGCTCAAAGACCCCCGTCTACTGGGTATCCCTCCTCAGCTGCTTAAGGGCTCTT